TGCAAAAAAGAACTTTCTGTCAGTTTTATTATTTCTAAAAAGGTTCCCCTTGAAGGAGAAGAGTGACCTTGTTCTGCTGAGCTGACATGTGCCATTGAATTAATGGTTGAGCTTTGCTTTAGGGAAGCTTGCAGAAACAGTTACAACGCTCATGGCTGAGTTTGCTGTGCACATTAATCAGGTAAACCAAAATGATGCATCAAACACTCATTTAAAAGTAGTAAAACCCCACCACCACCGCACATACACTAAAAAAAAAACTTCCTAAGAATTAGTGTACTGTTGGTCATTGCATATGGTCAAGGACATTGCTGATGGATGTAGTAAAACATGGGAGGGGGTTGTTGTTGAAACTTTTGTTTATATCCAGTTGCTAAACAGGCGTAAGAAGAAAGTTAGATATAATGGGAACAGGTTAAGACCTTTATTTAATACACCCTTTATCTCCTACACCATATTTGATCTAATTCCCATGACCATAACATTGTTTGACATTATGATTCATAACAATGTGGTGACATTGATAACAAGGAGCTAAAGAGTTTGAGTACAATTTCATTGAAGAGAAAAGAAACTTCCACCATTAATTTAATAGTTTCAAACTAGGCAACAAGTTTCTCTCACTGACAATGCTTTTTAAATGGTCTTTGAATGAGTCCTGTGTGAATGTAATAGTACGTAAGGACTCAACAGGTTCTCATCCAGTCCATTTTGTGCAGATCATTAACTGCAAGTCGCATTTGTCTGAAGGTTCAAATGCCAAACTTGAGATGATCTCTATACAAAGACTGTTTAAAGACAAGCTGTGTGTGTATGCACGTGTGTGTATGTGAGTGCATGTGTGGGGGTGTGTACCAAGAGGATGCCCCCCCCAACTTGGAATTAAGAAGGAATGCAAAGGAGGGAACATTATTTTTGCCTTGATGTGGAATGAAACATAGAAATTTTGGCATGTCAGGACACATTACTAAAACAAGCAAGCAACCCACTGCATGAGGGGTTGAGGCAATATTGGGTCCATTATAGGCTGGGATGTAATCCAGAAGGTCTCATGTATGAAGCATCAGGCCAGGATGGGATTCAAAAATATGGAACATAAACACCCCAGCCTCCCATATTATCCCATTGCAACTTCTCTCGTGTAGGGTTCAGCCGCAGCAGAGTGGTAAATCATGATACTATATCCCATGATTCACACAGATTATAAGATACTGTAGCTGTGTGTCGTAGTTTAGGTCAGCCCTTTATTTACAGAGCCGTCAGAGTGCAGTCCTCTGTCTAAAGTCATCATCTCTCTGACTGTAATGTTACACAAATAACTGTCCTCTTTTTTTAGAAGCTTGCAAGTGGCTATTCTCACTGTCCCATAGCTGAAGAAGGAAGAAGGGGATACAACTAAGTACAAACAGACTTCTGATTCTGGCCTGTCAATTGCACACCTGCTTCTATACACAGTGCCAAATTCATGAGCACCAAGCAGTCTTCCTCCCCCACCCCACCTTCATTTATCCCAATGGACCATCATCAGAAAGATTTGGGGGATTTAAAGGGAGCATGTTGGCCCTCTAAGGCCTTGCTCCTACTTAATGAGTGTAAGCAAACCTTTCCCTCTTCTGCGGCACATTTTATGTTGAGGGAGGTTAATTTGCTTAATGTAGCCATTCTGCCAAAAGGAATCACTTAATTTTATGGGATTCTGAATACCAGTGTCAAAATCAATGGTCTATTCTCTTCCAAGAGACTTACATTTGCTTTAAAAGCTTTCCTAAAATGGGAAATAAGGCTTGGTTTTACATTCATGGCTTTCCCAAGAACAAACTCATTGAAACTAATGTGGTATATGTGCATGTGTGTGTGTGCACGTGCATATAGATACACACACATGAGAGAATAAGATCTCCCCGCAATCCCATGAGCCTCTGGCTGCTGAGAATGTTTTTCTATGTTGTTGTCATGGGTCTGAACGTATTTTAAAAGGTGGCCGCTGTATTGATTACTTAATGGGGGAAAGTTAGGGCAGAGAATTGCTGAACTAGCCCTGGTTAATAGTTTCTTATGCGCCAAACCCATTATCCCAAATGGTGGAAACTCTCCTGAAATTCCTATTAATGTTTAATAAGGACGGAGCAGCTCTAAGGCATATGACAAAATAGACCACGGCCCTTGTTCAGAAAGAATGTAAGATTGTGGTGAAGCTCTGAAGGAATTGCTGATGTTTCTGTGCTCTGGCTCTTTGTGAAAATAGCAATGCTAAGCATTATTTTTTTCCCTTTGGCTTCTCAGCCTCTCAGTATTACCTTGGCACTTGAGCAAAGAGATATTCATCGCAATGCTACTAAAAAGCACTGGATGTACAATTTGTAGCAGGGAAGGAGTCTGTTCTCAAGTTAACCAGGACTGCTGTGAACTGCAGCCTTCCTCTGTCCCACCCTGCATCTTTCCACAATGCTTTTTGGGCACAATCCACAGGGATTAAAAGTCAGCACAAAGTGTTAGTCCTGCCACATTCACAATCCTTTGAGCTGTGTGTTATATCATACTATTGAGTGATCTCTTGCCAAGATCTTGCTCGTTTTGTTAATGCAGAAAATCTTTTTTTAATATTGCTTATTCTTCAAAGTAGGCATAATGGTCAGTGAGTCTAAGAGATACAGCCACACATCTGCTTCACTAAAGTCCTGCATCAAATTGGGATGCATCAGGCCCATTCAGAACCAAGAATTCAGAAATTCCTAATCAAAGTAGATTGGCCAGAGTCAGATCAAATACAGAGAGGAAAGCTACATAATCTGTCCCATGGGCCACAAGGAGGTTCCAGAGGTATTGGTATGGCTCTCACGGGGGCGGGGGGGATTAACCAAAAAAAATCTTTCAGACAAAAAGTTTTGTTCTAAATTTTCTGCTCCTGGATGCTTCAGATTTTATTTTGTTCATTTTTTTCAATCGTGCATTATGCATTTTACCCTAGAAAATTAAAACAACAACAACAGACACTGCCTGTCCAGGCACCTCCTGTTTATTTTTTCTCCTAAAATGTTCAACAGTAGCCATTTTTTGGTTCTCCATAAGCCATGGGTGGATGGGTGGGGATTTTGGCCTCCTAGCCCCCTAAACCAGTGGTCCCCAACCTTGGGCCTCCAGATGTTCTTGGACTACAGCTCCCGGAAGCCATCACCACCACCTCTGCTGGCCAGGATTTCTGGGAGTTGAAGTCCAAGAACATCTGGAGGCCCAAGGTTGGGGACCACTGCCCTAAACGTTACACATCCTTATCTACTTTCAAGTTTCAATTCAACCTTTAGCCCTCAATCCTGTGCATGCTCACCTGAGAGAAATCCCATTTGATTTCACTAGTGCTTATTTTGAGATAGGCATCCTTTGTACAGCAGCCCAAGGTCTCTGTCCACGTCCTGGTGAAGATGCAGGTGATAGTATCTTGCAGGGGCCATGTGTAGGCTGTATCATTTCAGATTGCAAGTCAGAGATAAAAAAAAAAATTAAGATTCATACACAAGCACCATAGCCATGCCCTGCCAGAAATATATCTCATGGTTTTGTAGGCAAGGAGAAACAAATATGGTTTCTCATTCTTGTGCATCAGAATAAGACAGGTGAGAATTTACATCCTTAGCTGGAATTGATCCTAATTGCTTAGGCATGACAGTAGTTTCATGAAAGATGTATTGACAGGGCAAACCTTGGTTTCTTCTTTTCTCAGCCATGACTGAATCGCTTCAGTTCTATTTTTAAAATAGAAATTACATACCTCCAACCTTTACATTTGAGAGGAGTAATAAATCACAGTACAAATCCTATGCGAGTTTATTCCCAAATTAGTGCCATTGAATCTGTATAGATTTACTCAGTAGTAAAATTGGGTTGATTTGCTGCACCAGATAAGGAATTATTGTTAACTTTCCTGAGTCTAGGGGATTAAAGTGATCTATAATATAAAATAAACATTCAAAATAGAGCTGAAGCTATCAAGATTTGTCACCAAGTGATAGTGAACAAATGTCAATGTTATGCTGTTCATAAATGGTCTATTACTGTTGCAACAACCATGTTTAGTTTTAAGAGGAATGTTAAAGAAGTGGGACCTAACACAGACAATAAATTTGTGATTTATGAGTAGGATAATAATAAGATGAGAGACTTTCCAGAGTGGAAATTCTCCAGGGAAGCTATTTTGTAAAGCACACTGTTAATGTCAATTGCATGAACATCATTCTCAGAATCATCACTCCTGAACTTGAATGCACACTGGTCACCATGCATGCAACAGGAAGGAACCTGGGATTATAATCATAAGACTCTTTTGGAACCAACCATAAAACACTTTCAGAACTAACAAGGGGTACATGAAAATATAACAAAGAAAGTTTGAATATTAAGAGTAAAAAAAATATTATGTGCGCAAAAGCAATGGAAATATATGACGTAAATTTAAATATCGTTCTTAACTAAAGCCAACACATTGAATCATTGGAACCTACATAAGCATTGGATCTATTCTAGGTGGGAATAATAGTTGGATTGAGGTCATAATTTGTATCTTGGCTTCATCATCGCTTTAGGTACCATATGTATAAGAACCTAAATGTAAAAGATAGTAATGCTAGGAAACAATGATGAAAACAGGGAATGAAGAAGACCAAATATCAGATTGATTGACTCAATGAAGGGAAGCCATGACTTTGTTTGCAAAGTGTGTGTAGTGCTGTTAATGACAGAACTTTCTGGAATTCCCCAATTCACAGGGTCGCTATCACTAGGACTTAAATTGATAGCACACAGCAACACAGATCTGAGTGCTTCATCAACAATATACTTATCCATGAACGTATGACAAATATTAATACAGGAAATTGTCTTGATTAGAATGTTTATTTTATGTGCCAAATGGGACACAGGGCAGAGCAGAACATTTGAATCAACTAATTTGGAAAAAAAAAGAAATTGTCACAATGTATAAACATTTCTTTCTTTCTTTTTGATAGAGAACAAGCAGCTTTGGGAACTTTGACCATCGTGGACATCATTCGGTATCAAAACAAGAAGATTCACCTGAGGTCTGTACAGTGTATTGTCCATTAAAAAAAAGTCACCATCCCCTTTATGCATGTGCAAATCCCAGTATGCAAAACATAATAATGGTTGATCCAGATGAGTAAGCAGAATTTGTACAAACTGTCTGTTTTTACTATATGAAGTCATAGCTAGCACAACTTTAAAGGGGGCAGCCCCATCCTTTTCCATAGATAAGGAGAAAGATGGGAGTTTTCCCACTGCTGACAAAGGATTGCAAGTGCCAAGTTATGCTGAACACTGCATGAAACTCTCTGTTCTCCAAGTGTCTTGGAAATGCAATGCAACAGCAAGGAGATATCTTTTATTTCTCTAGTTGTTTTCGTTTGTCATATTGTCCAAGCACAGAAAAAGGACAGATCTGATTCCAGGGGCAAAAAGTAGATAAATAAAAATTACAAATAAAAGTATTAAAAATTGTACTTACTGGTAATGAGCAAGCAATGGCATTTGTAGGTTCTTTCTGATGAAACTCTTGCATACTCAATTGACTATGAATAAGTAGATGTTTGGGTGGTGAAAGCAATGGCTTGCCAAGTGAACCATCACTTTAACTGCAATGAGTGAACAGTCCCAAATAAACTCTATCCAAGCAGCCTTAGGAAGTTTGTGGAAGGAAGTGCCTCATTGCCCCTCAGCTCTGGGTTGAGGCATTTTGCAAGCCTGCTTTGCCCATAAGCCTCCTATGCAAACAGTTCCTTGCATTAAAAAAAAAACAAATAAACCTGTATCTTTTTTAAAAAAAATAGACATGCGAAGTGGATGGTGTAAATGATGGTGCAGAATCCGGACATAACAAATCACCCAATAATGGAGGGACCATTGGAAAGAAGATGAGGGCCATTTCCATGACCATGAAGAAAAAGATGGGCAAAAAGTACATCAAGGCACTTTCAGAGGACATGGTAAATAGAGAAAAAAGTAGTGATTGTCATAAATGTGATTGTCATCATTGCTTGTGGGGTTTTTTGGTTCTGCTCTCTGGAATCTCTGTTGAGTATTACACACAGTGTCGTTCTCAAGGGTGGAGAGGCTGGGAACTGGTTAAGATTCATAAGGAATGGATGATGAATGGATTAAGGGAACCTAATTTGGATTCACCATGTTCCATTTACTTCAGAATGCATTCATGAGATGAAGCGATAATATATAGGGAGCTTGGAGGGAAGGAAGCCAAAGGGGTTGCTACAGGCAGATTCTTCTGGGCTCCAACGAAGGAGATAGAATGAGACAAAAGAGGGCATGAGTGGTGAGCCTGGCAAAAACTGCTAGAGGTTGTGAACCAGTGGACAGCATGGCTGTAGTGAATAGCAGGTAGGGCCAGAGTCACTCTATGTTCTTTGCAGCCATTCTTTCTTACATCACATATAAATAAATTCCCACTCTTTCCAAATGTGTCTTTCCCCCCTTCTTTTCCCCATTGTTCCTTGTTTCATATAGCTGGCCAATCCCCCTCTCTATTTTCCTCTTTATCTATTTTATCTGTTTTCCCTCTTTCTCCCTCTTCTCCACTTCTCTCTCTTTTTTCCCTCCTCTTCTCCTCAGATGCCTTCTTCCTAAGCCCTCATCCTTATGCTGCCACAAGGCTTTCAAAAAGAGAGAGCTACCATTGGTACCAATGAGCATGGTAAAGCTTAGCTGTCACATTGCGATGGTGAGGCATTTAGCGGCATCCCAGTTTGGGAGACTGGAGTCAATTATTCTTTCCCCTCCTGCAGTGCTGCTGCTGAAGATCAACCCCTTGAGTGGTAACTTATCCCAAATTTTGTAAAGACTGATCATTGTGAGTAGCATTGTCAAAGAAAGAGATCATGGGTCTCATACATCAGTGGTCCCCAACCTTGGGCCTCCATATGTTCTTGGACTTCAACTCCCAGAAATCCTGGCCAGCAGAGCTGGTGGTGAAGGCTTCTGGCAGTTATAGTCCAAGAACACCTGAAGGCCCAAGGTTGAGGACCACTGCCATACATGATCTACTGTGAGCTGCTGGTGCCCAACATACTGTATGTAATTGAGTCTGCTCAGGAACTGTGCCTGCTGAGGAGCAAGAACCAAGCAATTATTTCACCCACCTTCAGCTTAAAGAGTCCCTACACAGAGAGAGGTGGTTAGTTCTAGACGGGACCAGCTCATGACCTACTCCAGGAGGTGTTTGATCTCCTGGAGCAGGTCACAAGAACAGGTGATTAGTTCTAGAAGGGACCAGCTCATGACCTACTCCAGGAAGTGTTTGATCTCCTGGAGCAGGTCACAAGAGCTTCTCCAGCCTTTCAAATCACTGTATGTAATTGAGTCTGGTCAGGAACTCTGCCTGCTGAGGAGCAAGAATCAAGCATTTCACCCACCTTCAGCTTAAAGAGTCCCTACACAGAGAGAGGTGGTTAGTTCTAGACGGGACCAGCTCATGACCTACTCCAGGAGGTGTTTGATCTCCTGGAGCAGGTCACAAGAGCTTCTCCAGCCTTTCAAATCACTACTCTAGCTGCTTTTCTTACTATAACCATCCACCATGCATATGGAATTGTGCAGGGAGTGGGTGAGGGAAAACAGCTCAGTCATTTGAAGCAGCTGAAAAGTAATGATGCTCCTCTCATTTTCTACTCAAAATATTTCCTTTCTCCTAGGATAACTGTTAAAAACTTAGATTATACCACCTGAAGGTGCTAGAAAAAGCAAGCACTTGGCTTGTTCCATGTGTAGCCATGAAACCAGTAATTTTGATCCCCGGTAGCAAAAATGCACAGGGTGTAAGTTCAGCAGAACTCTACCTAGATATTATTTTACTTATTCTCTGATGCATTCCTTCTTATGAACAGATGCTCAGGCTGAAACCAAGCCTTCCTCCAGATTAAATGTTGAATAGTTGGCAGGCATAAATGATGAGGCAGATCTTTCAGCATTAAGGTATGTTCAGCAAAATGGTCCAATGGATTGTGACTTCTAAAAAAAATCATTAATGCCCTGGGAACTGCAGGAAAGGCTGTGAAAAGTGAAGAGGCAGGATTTGATGAAGGTACTAATGTACGCTGTGAAAAATTACAAAAGAATTGCAAAACCCTAGGAAAGTGGAAAAGAAAAGAGCAGCTGAATGTACATTAAAGTAATGAAATGCACCTTGGGAAAAAAATTAGTCCTTTTCGACTTATACATTGTTAGGTACTGAATATGCTATTACTGCCAAAGAAGAAAATTATGGAATCACTGTGCATACTTTCTGTAAATGTCAATTCAGGCCACTCAAGTCTTGAAAAAGCAACAATACAGTGATTATGTTTCAAGAGACAGAAAAGAATACTGTACATCATAATTCTCTTTACAAAGAGATGGTGCTTTCAGATCTCACGTTCTATATGCAGGCTATTGCCAAGAAAAAAAAGAGTGATAAAATGTGAATGTGTGCAAAAGTGATTGATAGGAGTCATCTCGAGTGTGGTAGGTTTTTCACATAAAGGACGTTTACATGGTTAGAATTGTTTCTAAAAGAAAAAAAGAATTGCCTGTGGCATAATCATTACTCAGGAGTGAGTCCCACTATGTTCAACATGGATTACTCTTAGGTAATTATGCATAAGACAAAATCCATAACCACCTGGCATAAGCTGAAATGAGGGAATGGGCAATACTGCTTCATACTCCAGGTAGGATAGTGGTTTTGAAACATACACTCTTGAAATCGTATCACTTATAATGCAATCATCTGATCTAGTCCAGTGATAGACACCTTCTGTTGCAGTTCCAAAGACGTGCTTCAGCAAGACAGTAAAAAAGATCCCAAACAGGGTCGGAGCAAGGACACAGCCCTGTTTCACTCTGCTTCGGATGTCAAAGGGATCTGATGTTGAGCCATCAAAAAATACAGTGCCCTTCATTTCCTCATGAAAGGACCTGATGATGTTAAGGAGTTGAGGTGGACATCCAATCTTGGGAAGTATTTTAAAAAGGCCATCCCTGCTAACCATGTCAGAGGCCTTTGTGAGATCTATGAAGGCCACAAAGAGTGGCTGTTGTTGTTCCCTGCATTTCTCCTGCAACTGTCGGAGGAAAAATACCATGTCAGTGGTGGATCTATTAGCTTGAAATCCACACTGTGTTTTTGGATAGATTCTGTCTGCAAGCACCTGGATTCTCTTCAGTACAACACGGGCAAGCAGCTTCCCTAAAATGCTGAGAAGAGAGATGCCATGGTAATTATTGCAGTGGCCCCTGTCTCCTTTGTTCTTATGCAATGTGACAATGTTTGCATTCTTCATATCCAGTGGTAATCCACCTTCCCTCCAACAAAGACGAAAGGCTTCATACAGCTCGGTGGGGATGATTTCTTTACAGCACTTCAGCACTTCAACAGGGATGTTATCCTTTCCAGGTGCCTTGCCGAAGGCCGCTTTTATTTCTGCTAAAGTTGGTTTGCTGTCCAACTCTTCCAAGACAGGCAGGCACTCAATATTATTTAATGCCTCTTCAGTTACTACATTCTCTCTGGAATATAGCTCAGAGTAGTGCTGCACCCAGTGTTCCATCTGCTGTGCTCC